TGCTCTTGCATTTGCAATTGAGGTTCTGACTATTAATTCTGGTTTAAATTGTTGGCTTCACCACAGCTCACTGTTAGCTGCGAAGTTGCAGCAGCAACCCCCGCCCAGTGTTGCCTGGGAAGGAAGGTTGCTAAAGGCTCTAGTTTTCTTCTCTGCCTTTCTGGGCCTCAGGCGTTCTCCTTTCAGCTGATTGGATTCATTGTTTTTTGGCTAATTGGTTACAAATATAATAATAAAATTAAATTAATTAATTAAAATAAATTAATTAATTAATTAAAATAAATTAAAATATGAACGGGGGTGAAATATTATCAGGGCTCCCAGTCTTGCTACAGATTGGCCCCTGGGTGTGCCAATCACCTTCAATCCAACTCATACCACATTCTGTAGTACTAGTATTCTCACAGAAATGGCAGAGGGTAATACTTCAAGAGGACCTTCTCTGAAGGCTAAATCTAAGACCCATCACTTGCACAGACAGGCTAAGGAGACCTCCAGAGCCTCCCAGAGGGATGCCCTGAGGCGCCATAGGGCCCTGGAGAAGGAGATTAGCAGATGCTCCAAAGAGGCCCCTGCCACAGGCCCCCCCCCCCCCCCCCCCTCTACATCCCCCCCCCCCCCCCCAGTTTTTTCCTCACCATCCAGGCGCAGCTGGCCCTCTCAGGGTCATCAGGTGCAGATTACTGGAACTCCGGCTAGAAGGGCTCCTGAAACCACTTTCACGCCTACTGCTGCTGGCCTACGCCAAGAAGAATTGCTCATAGAGGAAGTCCCAGAGAAATTACAATCCTGGATGGAGCTGGCTATCCGCCAAGGCATTGCGGCTGGACTCCAGCCAATGGCCAGACCTGGGCACTACATAGCAGCCTCGGATCACGAGTCTCAATCCATAAGATCCATTCCCAGATCGGAACTGCTCCATGGACAGGTATCCCTGCAGGGGGAGGTTCTCCCTACAGTAAGGGAGGAGGAGGAGGAGGAGGAGGAGGAGGAGGAGGAGGAGGAGGAAGGGGACCTAGATCTAATCAGGGAGGAAGAGGAGTTTGACTTGGGGTCTTTGCAATACAGCGAACCCCTCTCTGAGGTAGACCCATTAGAAGGGGAGATGTCCGAGGACGAGGGTCTCACCCCCGACCAACCCGCCTTTGTGGAGCTATTCAAGCCATAATTATTCAAGTCCCTCCTTTTCAAGGCCAAGAATATTTCGGGCCTAAACACTCAGTCACCATCTGATCCCACTCCTCTTGCTCCAGAAGGTCCAGAGGACTCCATTTTTAAGCAGCCCATAGTGGAGGCCAAAATCATCCCAACTCCTCCCATTTTCTCTGACCTGATGGTTAAACAGTTGGTCTCTACAGCGGCGCCCCCTGCCCTGTTGGCCCATGATAAAAAAAATTTCAATCTGGATCCAGAATTTTCCAAATTATTGGGTACCCCTGAGGTTGATGAGCCCATCGTGGGTCTAGCCTCTTCCTCCACCCTTTTACCAGGCCCCCTTCTCCCCTAGATTTCAAAGGCCCCCTCCCTTTGGGCCGGGTCAACCCCCAGACAGGGCCGATTCATCTGACAGAAACAGAAGGGGCAGCAGCTACAAGACGCCCTTTCGGGGATAGGCCATACGACTCCATTCCCATTGGCGGGTGTCTTAAAGCCTTTGCCAACCAGTGGGACTCCTCTACTTCCGACGCCTGGGTCAGGGACACCATCAGGTTCGGCCTGGCCCTCGAGTTCCAGTCCGCTCCCTCCCCGATTTCTTTATGCCATGTCCTCTCTCCAAAGACCACACTAAGTGTAACCTCATGGATTCAGCTATCCAACACCTAATTGACATAGAGGCCATCCAACCGGTCCCTCAGGCACAATGAGGGTGGGGTTTCTACTCCCATTTGTTCGTAGTCCCAAAGCTCTCAGGGGGATGGAGAGCGATACTGGACTTAAAGCGGCTTAACCACTATCCGGTATACCGTAAGTTCAAGATGCACACATTGCAATCTATCCTATTGGGAACTAGACAAGGGGACTGGTTGTCATCCATAGACCTCACAGAGGCATATCTACACATCGCCATCCGGCCTTCCCATCACAAATTTCTTCGCTTTTGCTATAATAACTACCACTTCCAATACGTGGCTCTTCCATTTGGTTTAGCCTCCGCCCCTAGAACCTTTACCAAGGTTCTAGCTGCACTGGCGGCCCACCTCAGGACCCTCCCAGTGCGTCTTCACTGTTACCTGGATGACATCCTCATCCTATCCTACTCTAAATATCAAGCTCTGAGGGACACCCAGGTTACCCTAGCCGCTCTCCAGGAGCATGGGTTTCTTATCACTTGGAAGAAGAGCCAATTATCCCCTTCCACCAGAATAACCCATCTGGGGACAGTGATTGACACCCTGAAAGGGAAGGTGTTCCTATCTTCGGATAGGCTTCTCAGTATCTAGAAATTGGGTTAGAACCGTCAGACGCCTCAGGAGGGTTCCCCTTCTGGAATTATCTCAATTACTGGGAAAAATGATTTCATGTATTTCCATTATTCCCTGGGCCCGTCTACACACCAGATCCCTCCAGTGGTTCCTACTTCCATACCAGAGATCCGGCACAAGCAACACAAAAGTCAAAAAGGTCAGGGTTCCACCAAAGGTCCTCACGTCCCTCCTTTGGTGGAGCAAAGCGTCCATTAACAAGGGCTGCCCCCTCAAGGAGCCCCAAAGACTCACCATCACCACAGATGCCAGTCTGTTCGGATGGAGCGCTCATGTTCAGTCCATCACATCACAGAGAAGATGGTCAGCAACAGAGCGATTATGCAACATAAACTGGCTGGAACTTCATGCTGTGCACCTGGCCCTTCGCAGCTTCATCCCTCAGGTATGCAGCCACCACATCCTCATTCTCACGGACAATGTGACGGCCAAAGCACACATCAACAAGTAAGGGGGCACACAATCATTACGTTTGATGAGGGAGGCCAAGCGCCTCTGCCGTTGGGCGGAGTCCAACCTCCTTTCCATCAGGGCAGAGCACATCTCGGGACTATCAAACATCCAAGCAGATTGGCTGAGCAGGGCTACCCTAGACCAGTTGGAGTGGCGCCTCCACCCATCACTGTTCAAGGAGGCGGCATCCATCTTCAGGCAACTGGTAGTGGACCTGTTCGCCCCCCCCCAATGCCCAGCTCCCAAGATTCTTTTCAAGGTTCCCATCCCAAGGGGTGGATAATTGCAATGCCTTACGTTGCCCTTGGCCCACGGGACTACTATATGCATTCCCCCCCCCCAGCGCTGATGCCCAGGGTCATCCAAAAGGTTCTTCACGAGAAAGCGGAACTGCTCCTCGTAGCACCTTATTGGTCCAGACGTCCTTGTTTTGCAGACCTCCACAGTCTCTCAGTGGCCCCACCCTGGAGGATCCCATCAGACAGGATCTCTCTGTCTCAAGGACCATTTCTCCACCCGGACCCCCAATGGCTCCAACTAACCATCTGGAGGTTGAGCGGGACCGCCTGAAGAGGGAAAACCTATCTAGCAGGGCCATTGACACTATACTAGCAGCCAGACGACCCTCAACTATAAGAATCTACAACGCCACATGGTCCATTTTTTTGTAGATGGTGTGACAAGCTCCAAATTGACCCCGTTTCCCCTTCCATTGCTCAAATTTTAGACTTCCTGCAGGAGGGACTCAGTAAAGGGCTGTCCCCCAATACATTAAAACAACAGGTAGCAACCTTATCAACCATCATCTCCTGTGAAGGAGCTGATTTCCTTTCTCATCACCCCCGTATTCAGGCTTTTCTTAGAGGGGATACCAATTTACACCCTCCAACTCTACACCGGTACCCAACCTGGGACCTTAACAGAGTCCTTCTCTCACTCACAAAACCCCCTTTTGAGCCATTAAGGGAAGCATCTCTACAGTTTCTAACATACAAGCTAGTCTTCCTTGTAGCGATCACATCAGCCCATAGGATATCGGAGATTGCAGCCCTATCCATTAGAAAGGACCTCTGTGTATTTCACACTGATCAAGTGGTTCCTCTTGCCTGATCCTACCTTTTTACCCAAAGTCAATTCAGTTTTCCACAGAGCTCAGGAACTTATCCTTCCAAATTTTTGCCCCAAGCCATCTCAGGAAAGGGAAAGGCAATGGCACACACTGGATGTCAGGTGCGCCCTGCGCGTTTACATCAAGCACACAGAGTCCTTCCGAAAGTCAGAAGCCTTATTTCTTTCCTTTCAACCCAAGACACAGGGGCACAAGGTATCACTGTCTACCATAGGCCATTGGATAAGGGCGGCAATAGCCAGGTCATACCAGTCGCAGGCCTTGCAGGTACCCAGAGGTATCACTGCTCACTCTACCAGGAGTGCGGCAACTTCGGCAGCCTGGGCCACCCAGGCACCAATAGATGAAATCTGCCGGGTGGCAACGTGGGCCTCCCCGTCACCTTTTATCAGGCACTACAAGATCGATGTGTTTGCCTCAGCTGAGGCTTCCTTTGGTAGAAGGGTTCTACAGAAGGTTTTTAGAGAACCCGAGGTGGCTACAGACCAGATGATGCCCCTCCCGTGGGACAGGCCCAGCTTTGGTATGTCCCACTTCTGGATGCTCCAAGCAGCTCTAAGGAGAATGGGCGTTGGTACTTACCTGACATGCGATTTCTCTTTGAGCTGCAAGGAGCATCCAGCCCCACCCAAATTTCACCATCTGTTGGGTTCTTGTTTTGGCCAATGAACCATTAGTTAGTTAGAATGAGAGCACAAATTTTTTCCTCTTGTCTTCGCAAAACTGGGGAACGCTATGTAGGAGACACGTGAAAGGAGGAGGAGCGTTCCTCAAAATCAAGCTCAGCCTATGAATGCAGAGACTGAAGCACCACCCACTTCTGGATGCTCCTCGCAGCTCGAAGAGAAATGGCGTGTCAGGTAAGTACCAACACCCAGTCTCATATTCTCTCCTTTTCCTCTGAAATATTTGCCATTAAATGCTTCTCTATTGAGTCCAATCTATGTCTTTGCTCTTGCCAAGTAAATATTAAGCCTTCTGGAATCAACCATCTATAATTCACTCCCTTCTTAATTAAAATTTTCATCAAGAATTGATAGTATCTTCTCAAATCTCTCACTTTTCTCGGTACTTGTTTTAGGAATGCAATCTCTTTTCCTTTATATTTCAGTGGGTCATCCCTTGCACTCTGTAATATTTGTGTTTTAATTGCTTTCATAATGAATCTTACATGGACTTCTCTAGGCAATTTGTTTCTCATAGCTATCTTGTATATACTCAGAACACTTCATCTATTCCATCAATCATTTTTTCTTTGGATATCTTCAAGACTCCTGCCAGCACTTCTATCATTATTTCTGCAAGATTTTCTCCTTTTTCTTCCTCTATATTTTGAAATGTGAGATAAAAATCTGCTCTCTCCATCTCCCAGGCCAGCATTCCTTTTCCCTTTTCCTGTTCAACAACTGTCAGCCTGTTATCAATGTCTCCAATTTTTAAATCTGTCTGGTCTCCTTTTTCTTCTATTTTTTGAAATCTTTCTTCATTCTTCACCATCATTTGTTGTAAGTTCTCTAGTTTCTCATCAATTTTCTCTGTTCTCTCTTTTATTCTTTCCATTTGTTTCCCTTGTATTATTCTTGTATTGCTTGCATTATCATTTGTAGTGTAACCTCCTTTTCCTTCTCCCTCTCTTTTTCTTTCTCCTGCTGTAACATAGTGCAAAGTGACTGCTGAGAATTTGGGCTTAGAGAGGAGGGTGTCTTCATCTTTGAATAGTTATAATCCCAGTCAAAAATTTCAACGTACAACACCAAAAACAATTTTCTTCAGGTTCTTCTTTACAATAATCCTATTATCAAAGAGGAGGGGGAAAAAGAAAAAGTTGCAAAAAAAATAAAAAAAATAAAATTCAAAAAGGGGGAACAATTAAAAAAAACAGGAGAACAGAGAGTCAATAAAAAATGAAAAGAAGCTGGGATGTAAAAACATGAAGATAAAGGAAAAAAGAAGAAAATATAAAAACACCACATTTATAAATAATATATATAAAAAGGAAGGAAAAATAGTAAGATAAATGCACTAGTAGTTTAAAAGAGAAAAAGAGAAAACCAAAAACTTTGAAAAGAGGGGAAAAGGGTTATATTCCAACAGTGAAGCTAAAGACAGGCTAATAACTTGAATAAGCCTAAAAAAGTAGGCTAAGACTGGCCAACCATTAGCAGAAAAAAATTTAGTTGTAATTTAAGAATGAGTCACAAAGTAAATTACCATCACCAAATACTGTCCAAGGTATAATATCAAAATTTCAACAAGGTTATATTTCAACAAAATATAATCCAGGGCCACAGCAATCTTGTTTCTTTCAACTTCAGTTTCCAGCTGTTAGATTGTTTTACAAGAGAAGCACCTGCATAAATATTTATTCAGTGCTCTATTCTCTATCTTATGACTTAGAAAAGCATTTTCAACAATTTATCTTCAACTCCTTCAAAAAAAAAAAAAATGTAAGGCCTCTAGGTGGCAGTGTTGCTTAAGTTACTTAGCTGTCAATACTTGGTTAGACTGTAACAAGCTGAAGGAAGAAGTTTTAAAAAGCTTCTAAACAAAAAATTCCCCTTTAAGGAGAAAAAAGAAAACCAACAAGGAAAAAAAAAACCAAAGTCTTTAAATTTAATTCTAAAAATTGTCTTGTTCTAGTCCAGTCCAGTTAAAAGTTAAGTCCTTATCAAAATTCAATAAAATAACTCCAATTAGTTTGACAGGCTCAATTTCACCGCTTGTTTCCTCTTCTGTCTTCTATTTTCTAGTATCTTTCCACCCTTAGGGTGCTCTCTCTTTTTATCAGTAAAATAAAGGTTTCACCCAAAACCAACACTTTTCTTCTTCTTCTCTTCTGTTCTAGAGCTGTCCCAACCTTTCAACAGCTTCAATGGCCACTTCCTTTCGCAGCCAGATTAGACAGCTTTATCTGGATCAACCAAGGACTTTGTGGTGTCCCTGGGATCAGCAGACTATGCTTTCCTTGGCCACCATCTCTATGGGGTGGTTTGGGTCCTGGTGGAGCTTCCACCTGCGGTGGTATTGATGCCCGTCCCGGAGCCCCGGAATCACTCGGCATATGGTCACAACATCAACCCCACCCTTCTCAACCATGATTTTTGTGGTGCTGAATAGAAAGTAATTTATTTTTTATCTGGGTTCATTTCCCTCCATATATCTTTTAATCCCAATTCACTTAATCCCAATTCACTTAAAACACCTTCGACAATGTTTTCCTTTTTTTTTTTTTGTCTATGCTATTGCTCACATGATCTTTTTTCAGGTTCACTACTGTGTTAAAATTGCCTACCAGACATATATTTTCATACTCCATCTCTGCCAGTTTCCTATCGAGCTTACGATAAAATCCCTTCTGTTTTTCATTCAGTGCATATATAACTATAAGTAACACTTTCTTATAATGTATTATTATTTCAAGCATTAGAATTCTGCCCTCCTTGTCTGCGTAAACAATTTAGACTGTAGCAGCTTTCTAACATATACCACTATCCCTCATTTTTTTTTGTTGAGCCAAGGTTAAATATAAATTTCCCAATTTTGTTGATTCCAAAATTTTACCATCATGTTTTTGTATATATGTTTCCTGAAGGCATATGATATTCTCATCCACGCTGCTCTGAGAGTCCAGGATGGGTTAGACTTCTCCCTGTTATGTCATAGAGCTGAATCTGTTGTATATAAAAAGCTAGCCTCTAGTCAGATCCCCAGCTTTGACACAGCTCCTAGTCAATTGAGCTAAGTATCTTGGAAGCAAAGTTTGAGATCGTAGCTAGACATATCTGAAAGCAGGAAGAGGTTTGATTTTTATTTAAAAACCTTTGGCACAGCTCTTTGGGGCTTCGATTGAGCTGTGCCAGCTAGAGAGCGGGGATCCGCTCTCCAGCAGCTTCAGAGACTCAGTGCTGCCTTCGGGAAGCTGCAGACAGGGGAAGAGCTCATAAACCTCCCACACAGTCCTCCCAGGCATTTCTGTGCTGCAACGAGCCACAGCAATAGCCTTTCGGCACCTCTCGGCTGTTTCTTCGAGGCAGCCATTCGCTCCTGGGTTTCTCCATTCGCTCATGGCTCTTGTGGCCTATAGAGTGACAGGGGCTTTCTAGGTGTTTTCTGGAGGGCCTCTCCATGTGCTGGTGGCCATTTTGTTAGTTCAGCCATAATGCATGAGATGGCGGCCATTTTTAATTGGCCAGAATCATCAGATTGTCGTTCCTTCTGATTTTTTTGTGGCCTTTTTGGGGAGTTTAACCCAGTTTGATCAGAAGACACATATTGAGGGGTGCTTCCAGGACCTCTTGTGTTCTTGTTGGATCATGGATTCCTCCAAGCAAGCTGAAGACTTGGTCTTAGAGGAACAGTGTCCTCAGGCCCAGAAGAAAAGAAGGAAGGGGCAGTGTGGTCAGTCAGCTCAAAAGGAAGTAGTGGCCAAAATTAGAGCTAAGGCAATCACTCCAAAGAAAGTATCCCAGGCTGAATTAAAGGCTGAAAAAAGGAGGCACGCTGCTCTTGAGTGGCAGTTTGCAAAAACCCTGGACCAGATGAGAGGATGCTTGCAGCAGGCTTCCCTTCCAGGGGAGGCACAGGTTGGCCAGAGTGTGGAATCCAGGGAAGGAGGGGCCCATTCTACTTCCTTCTCTTATACCCAAGTCTGGTCTCCTATGGGGCAGAGGAGGAAGGGGGTCCCCAAGACCTTAGCAGATCTGGGTCCTATTTTCAACAGACTACTATGGTTCCACCCAACCAGTCCTCTCAGGGTAGTCATAGACATAGGCCCGAAGCTCTCTTCACCCCTACTGCTGCTGGCATGTGCCCTGCTGAAGCCCCCTCAGGCAGTGGGTCCTCTGATATTTCATTAGTAGTTTCTACAGCCATTCAACGAGGTTTAGCAGAGGGTTTCCAACAGTTCCTTCATCCTTTTGGGGGGGGCCAGGATTGGTTTCCCCCATCCCTCTCTAGGGGCTCCTCTCAGACATAGGGAAAACCCCAGACTTTAGGAGGTTAGTAGGCCTCTACTCAATCTGACTGGGGAGACTATGAGGATATCCTTCAGAGCACAGTCCTTTGTCAGGGTCAGAGGAAGAAGAGGGCAAGATCAGAGACTCCTATATGTCAGAGGCAGAAAGTTTTCTCCAGGATCAGCTTCCCTCGATGGTGGTCTTTAAGGCCACCCTATTTAAACCCCTCTTTTAAGAGGCATTGGTTGCTGCCCAATTGACCTTGGAGGAGGTGGCTCCTGAACCCCAGATAGATTCTTCTGCCCAAGGGGATTCTCTTTTTTCTAAACCTGTGGTCCACACAGTGGTCCTCCCCTCTCCTCTGTTGTTTCTGGACCTTGTCAAAGAGCAATGTGCCTCTCCTGCTGCTGGGCTTAGACTATCATCTCACAATAGGTGTTTCTATAATGTGGGGCCTGCTTTGGTCTCTGCCCTGGTAGTGACCTTGGTGGATGCTCCAATAGTGGCCTCCTTCTCCTCCTCTGGCACCCCCACCAAACCAGAGGATGTGCTCAAGGCCGAAGACAAAAGATCAGAGTGCTCAAGGCTGAAGACAAACGCTCAAATGCAACCATCAGGCCTCACCTTGAGCTGTTTGAGCCTTGACAGCAGCGTCGTTTTTTTTACTAGAGCCTCACTCGGCTGGCTGCATCAATTACAGGAGTGCCTTCTTCCATCTGATTTTAGATCTCACCAAGATCTGAACAAAATCATCGCAGTGGCTGAATTTATGGCGGATGCCACTCTGAATTCAGCCAAGTTTGCCTCTAGAGCCATGGACTCCTCAGTCACAGCGAGACGATTACTTTGGCTCAAGAACTGACAGTCCGACTCACGCCATAAGTGGAAGCAGGCTTCAGCTCCTTGTTTGGGTGAGAAGCTCTTTGGTGAGGCCCTGGACCCATACCTTGTAGAGACCAGGTATAAGAGGCCTCTCTTTGACGGGAAAGAGGGCTGACTATCACCCAGCTCCTTACTTCCGTCCTTCATCTTTTCATGCTGAGCTCTCATTTCTCACGTAAT